GAACGCGGTGGTACCGAGCAATCTGATTTGACTGAGATTTATGTTCGTTGAGTCGCGCGGTTTGTACAAGCGCACCAATACGGAAGTCGCGACTTCTGGCTGCGACAGGGTGATGCGTATGTATGTTAAGCCTGCCGTCGGCATCGGAGGACAAACTGGTGTCAGCGGACCGTTGCTTTCTCTTGAAATTTCAAGTGCTACAGCTGAGGGACATGCTAAACATACAATATATGCACACGTTATCTTATGTTACGAGAGAAATGAAATCTTATCAATCGCTGCATCCTGCATCAGAGCCAACTTACTGGACAACGCTGTGAGATGCGGTTGCAATTCCACCTTTTTCAGTAGAATGGCGCACGGTAAAATGATAGTCAGATCGACCCACGCCTCGTCCGGATAAAAATGGTACGACCACGCCGGCGTTCTTGTACGCTTATGCGGGGTGGCGTTTTGTATGAGAACGTCCGCGGCTTGCGCGGTCGGATTCAGCCAGGATATCGTGCCGAGTGGCGCGAAGTTCAGCAAACCGTCGTCGTGGGTCTCTAATGAGAAGACACCTTTCTTGCTGCTGCTCGCCGTCATCTGCATCACGTTTGGTGCGTTCGACAGATGCTCCATGACAAGTGCGATCACTCCAGGTGAGGCAGACGTGCTGGCGGCCCCACTGTTACTCGATCTTACGAGATTCTCGCAGAGCACTTTTACACCGCCCATCGTGGTAAATACAGATAGCGATGACGCGTTGTCTAATACTCTTAAGATGTACCAAAGAAGAGGCTCGGACAGCTGTGTGACTCCCAATTCGGTTTCCTCGCACGCTGCAAAATATTACCGTTTGAAATTATGCACTCTATCTTGCTTTCATGTAAAATCTAATATGAGAAAATAACAATATCTATATGATATTCTGTAACGTAAATTCTTACACGAAGAGAGATAGTGGTAAAGCGGTTTGAGAACTAGAGTAGGATCGCTGGCTTTTTTCGTAAGGGTCGTCAGAAGCTGGAACGTCGCATCCGGTATCGAAGCTGGATCGCCAAGCTCGGTAGTCGATGCTGCGCTCGCGCTCTCTCCTAAGAGCATAGCTAATGAAGATCCCGTGCTATGACCGAGAGCGCCTAGTAAACGCATCATAGTCGGTTCATGCTGTAAAACTTAAGAATAAGATTCAATTAATACATAAACTCGGTACATCTTGCGAAGCGCGATAATACGTTATCAGAGTATCTACTATATCTATTAAGCTAGCAACCCCCTCACAAAAAATGGAAATAAAACTTATACTAAAATTTAGTATTTAGGTGCTCTATTTTTAATTGCTCGAGCCGCTTAGCAGGAATTTACAATTAAAAATAGGAACGCTAGCTGAACGTTAAGCTGGCATTTCCACTATTAAATAATATAAAAAATTCAAAAGTAAATACATGACAATTTAATACTTTTTAAGTGCTTTTAGAAGCTATAAACAAAATCAATCTATCTTTTATAGTTTAAAAGATATGAGTCGATTAAAATATTAAATTTAAAAAAGTATTGAAAAGAGAAGATAAATCAATCAGCTTTGTACAAAATAAAAACAAAATCTTTGAAGAAACATTCTTGATAAAAATTTCCAGGAAAATTTTTTGATTTTTAAAAAAGAATTCTTTAAAAATTCCAGATTTCTTGAATTCTCCAGATACTAGATACTTTGAGGTTATCTTTTACAATAATAATTTCCAATTTTTTTTTTAATCATGTAAGTTGCGAAAAAATTTTTTACAAGTGAAAGTATTCTGTATGTTGTCAAAATTATTAGACATATTAAAACTAGGCGCTTGTAATTAATTTATTTAGTTGAATATTAAATAATTAGTTGAGATATAAATAAAAAAATCAAATTTTGCTTCAATATATGTAACGCCAAAATTTCTTGACAGGAATTATAAATTGGAGATTCCATTCTACAATGTATATTAATAATTACCAGTGTCAGCGAGGCAAGGTACGCAAGGCTTGCTAGTTTTCGATTGTTGCAAACAAAATGAAGTTAACTGTTCCGCCGCTTTGCTCTCATCCGTTTGCCAAGTACTCGCTCTCATCTGAGAATCGCTCGAATTGCCTTCAGAGTTCCAAGTTTCGGGCAGTCTCACTTCTGCTGGTTCTTCCGGTCGATCTTGGCGAGTCTGTAAAATATCGGGCATATTAAGATAACCCAGAATATAAAATATGAATATAAACGGAAAGAAGTGCAAATCAATACATCTTGAATTTAAATAAAAGATGTTATATTTATATAGATGATTCTTGGTATTTAACGAGGTCCAAGTATTTTAAGACTTCTGGTCTTTTATTCCAATCATGTTACATGTTACAAAGAGAGAAACTAATGTAACAAATTTGTTAATATTTAATATATAAAATAATATAGAATACGTACGCTCGATAATGGAGTTTGGACGAGGGTGCACACTAATTTAATGAGAGCCACGATTAAAGTGTCCCACGACGCGGGACGACATTGCCTTGAGTCACCGCCAAATACGCCAGCGAATAGACCACCGAAGCTGCCGGACTGATTGGCCGAGTCAACCGCACCTCCGCATTGTACGCCAACTGTTATAACAAATCTCGTGTGGTGAAACTTGTCAATTTTTTGTGACAAAAATGAGTACGAGCTAATCCATTGTTCAGAAATATTTATCCTATATTTAAGGCAGCATTTTATTATAAGTAAAATAAAAGTAAATAATTTTCAATGCATGAAAAATAAAACGCAATTTTCCAGATACATATAATTAGTGAAAGATGACTCGTACATAAATAAAAACACGAGCACAATATTTCATTAAGATTCTTAAACATAGTCTTGTTAAAGAAGTTTTTACCTGCAGATCCTGTGATATAAGTCGAAACCAGCACGCCAACGCATTCGGTTATGCTCATAGCTGTGCTTAGGTCGGTATTGACATAATTTAGATTAATTAGAGACGTTATTAGCTTGCATTGTGCGTCTAAAGGTCCCTTTCTTGAAATAAGAGGCCCACTCGGTTGCACGAGTTGATACACCACACGCAACAGAAGATTCTTCAAGGAATTGCCTAAACAACTTTCCGTTGTAATGACATCACACATCATTTCCAGTCTGAGAAGAAAATAGTGCAATGCTTGGCAGACAGTAGGCCCAGCCTGAAATAGAAACAAGAATAGAAATGTAAGCGGTACATAAAAAATGTTAGAATAAAAATAAATCTAATTTTATCCACAAAAATAAGAGAGTGGTATGTACATAAGTTGTCACATAAATCAATACAAGTTTAATTAAGCGTTATATTGGATTCAATTAACTTGAGTTAATTTAGTGCACTTTCATAAATTTTTGATTAAAAACTGAATTAGATATTTTATTATTATATAGTCAATAAAAAAATTAAAAAACTACAATTAAAATGACGATCTTTCACATTTTTGCTGAAAACAAATCGAATTGAGACAAAATCTCATTAAAAAATAATGCGACAGAAAGGAAATATCCTCACCATGATATATTGCTTATCCATTGTATTGATATTTAATCCATCGCCGGAAAGAAGACGCAACAACATGGGGCCAGTATTGCGTTCCTTGACGATGCAACTAGCCATACAAGGACTAAGAGGTGTAAAGCCGTCTAAATTGGGATATCTTCGTAACGGTTGATTGCACACATTAGTTAAACATTGCAGTGCAAGACACCAAGCGCGTAAAGAAATTCCAGTATGCCTAAAATTTAACATGTATTAAATATCGTACACATTGAATTAAGTACACGTTAAAATATCGCATTTTAGGGCAATAATTAATGTACGATGATCATTATCGATCATGGCTTGCAATTTCGTTTATAACTTACCAAGAGAGCGCAGATATTAGGCTAGAAATGGCTGCTGGACTGAGCGGAATTAGAGGTTTTAAAGAGGAATCGAATTGAGAGCCTGAATGTTCCATAGCAGCATCCATATTTAACGCAAACCAAAGTTGAAGAACGAGTTCCAAATTTGTACTGTTCTTCTGTTGCACAGACATAAAATTAAAAAAAAATATTATATAAATGATGTATTTAGGAAAATATACTAGTAATTACTTATATGTATAGATATCAAATCAATGCAAAAAATTCATCATTAATAAAGGTGGAATTTAAAGCAGCATTTATTGAAGATTGTTTTTCCAAAATATACTTATTCCAATTTCTTAATTTGGATAACAACGTGCAAATGTAGCTCTAAAAATGTAATAAAAACATAAAAACTTCATGTTTGTTCCTTTCAAAAAATACCAATAAAAGTAACGAGCAATTTTCAAACCTATTAAAAATTTTATTTCCAACACATGGAAATTGAAAAAAGCCTTTCTCTTTTAGAAAAATATTCTATAATGGAAATCAGTTAAACAAATCTATCTGATATTTTTATAGACGATACAATATATTAATTGAAATATTAAGTATTCCAATTTGCTTTTATTATTTAACGTAATATTTTTCAATAGAAAAAACTTATAAAACTCAATAGCAAAATGGCAAACCTCTGAGCACCAACTTGACAATCAAAACCGCAAACGCACTTCCACTTTGACAACAACTTACCCGTAAATACAAGTCTGTGAACGTTTTCTCAAAACATCTCGTTAACATGGAAATGTTCGAAGGAGTATCGATAAGATCTGAAAAGTTTCCGGCTTCCTGGCTTCTATCGTTTGTCTCAGTACGCACGAACGATTGTTGGCAACAGCGATTTGTCTCTGTCGGCATCTAAACAAAAAAGTTTTAGGTGATTATTTCAGAATTATCAACTTTATACTCGAAGCAGTCACGGAATCTCTTCTTGGAACAATTTAGATCAAGTCGTAAACACGAAATGCAAAACAAATATAGTGCAAACAATATTTGCAGAAATAATCATGTAACGAAATACAGAAGAAAAAGAAAAGCAATACAAACTTACGTGTATTGTCGCATTTATGCTGTGAGGTAGATTGTACATGCCAACCGTAGACAGTATTCTTAGCGATATTTCCACACCCATTTCGACTCCATACTCCAATCGCGCGTCCATTGCCAAAGAAATGCTCCTAAAATGAGTTATTTGTTACTTTTCAATTAGACGTGTCATAAAGTTGAAGTGAAGAGCGCGATGTCAATTGTTACAAATAAAAGTGCGAGAAAAGATCCGAGATAAATACCCAGTAATGGCTGAAGTTAAAATTTTTGACACTGTGCTATCCTTCTTCAATATATTTCTGCCACGTTCCAATATGTCGTCCAGAAAGTCCTCCAATTCGCTATCGTCGGATTCCAAAAGGGATGGCAGATAAACGCTGGATTTTGACGTGCCGGCAGTAGTCGAGGTAATCTTGTTCACGATGCTATCCTCCTCGTCCGCGTCTGCTTCGGTAAACCCGTCGCCTAATGTGGCGGCGGAAGAAGCGCTGGTGCCTGCAACATTGGTTGAATCCTCTTCCGATGTGCGACTTTCTTCCGTATGATTGCCCAATGGTTCCAAATTCTCCTCTGACGGACTACCTTCGTGAGCGGAACAAGCTTTAGGAT